TTGTTATTATGTAAGAGAAAAAGCATGTCCTGATGCTAAATCTCGATTGTTGTCAATTGTTCTGTTAAAAAAAGAGTTCATATAAAAGAGTGAAAGTTCATATAAAGAGTGACATTCTTAATATTTTCCTAATATCAGTGTATTAGGAATAACAAAAATCATGAGTTAGAGTAAACGTCAGTCTGACGTTCAATCCTAATTGTTGATGAAGATGAAGAAGCATTGTCGCCCATATTCAAATGAGAGTCATCCAATAAGAATTGAGAAATTCTTTTGTTGAGATAAAGATGGTTACGATATTTTGTATCCCCAATCATAATAGTCGGACATTTAGAAACATATTGATCTAAATCACAATTACTATTATTCCAATCGTTGTCATTATGATCAAAACGCTCGTATCCAAGAGTGGTGGAAGAATTAGTTCTGTGCAAAGAAGTAATATCGGCAAGAGAACGATTAACACTTCTACTAGCACGTAATGTTTTAATAGATCTTGAATCAGAGCGATTTTCGGAAAAGGAATAGCCAGCAAAGCATTGTTGCATTTCGGCCGGAACTTCACGTTTAGGTAAGGATAGTTTTGGAGACATTGTAATAAATACATCATCAAAGTTTCGAAGGTCCATCTCATGCTCAATAGTTGGAATGTAAGGGGCACATATTCTTTTGTTTAAAACATCATCCCAATCAACATAATCAAAATATGGATGGGTTTTTATCTCCAATGAGCCTGTTGGTCCACACCCTAGTCGTTGACTAGGATCACGTTGTAATAACTAATTATAAAAATAATAATATAATAATATAAAATAATATATAATAGAAGAAATGTAAAATAACAATAAAGATATTTATAAAATAATGATATAAATATAAAGTATATAAAGTTAGTAAAGAATTGAAAGGTTTATATACAAAAGTTAATAAACATGAAAAACAACTTACGCCTCTTAATAAACTTATTGCATCATACATAATATCATCTGGAAATTCCAATTCATCTTCTAATACACGTTGATACATCCTGTTCTGGTCATCTGCCCAAAATGGAGTCTTTAAAAAACACAAATGTAAATAAAAATTGAAAATTTCACCCAACATGTATATTTTAAATGTTGTTGATACTTACTATTCCGAACATCATTTCGTAAATCAAGGTTCCTAAACTCCACCAATCCACCGCGAAAGTATAATACTCTGCTCGTATTATTTCAGGAGCCTAAAAAAAACAAAATAATACATAAACAATAATTAATATTTATGAAAATTAAAAAGAAGTACAGTAAAGGGAATTAAAGTGGATTAAAGGAATTAAAGTGAATTACAGCTGTTTTCAAAGAGATGTGGAAGACGACTTCCATATACCCATATGGGGAATCAGAGAGTAAAAAATCAAAGAATCGATTTGAAAACTTTGGAAAATAACTAAATTAAGGGATTTCCCGTTCCACATCCTTTTGAAAACAGCTATAAAGGAAATTAAAGGGATAACAAGAATGATCATTACCAAGTATTCAGCAGTACCACAGAACGTGTTTGTTTTTTGCCACGATTGATTGAATTGTTTTGATAGGCCAAAATCAGTAAGAACAATATGCCCATCGCGACCGATAAGAATATTTTCAGGTTTCAAGTCACTATAATAAATTAATAACAAATTAATAATTAATAATTGATAATTAATAATAAATAAATTAGGTCACGTGATCGCGGAAATTCGAAGAATAAAGAGAAACTAACCGATACACAATACCCAAACGATGTAATTCTTCTATACCAAGGACAATTTCAGCGGCATAAAAAAGACATCTTGCATCATCGAATCTATGCCATTTAGCCAATTGAGTGGCAATATCACCACCAGGATAATAATCCAATACAAGGAATAATTGATTACTATCATGAAAAGATTCGCGTAATCTAATAAGGAAAGGATGGGAAGTTCTGGAAGCAATTGCAAGAATATCACGTTCGGTTCTTGTGTGTTCGACCTCTTGCCGAAAAACCACCCACTCTTTGGAAATAACTTTGAGGGCATATAATCTATTGGTAGCTTTTTCTCTTGATAAGATTACCTAATGAAAAAGAAATAAAAGAATATATATATTATTTAAATTGTAATATAATGATAATGATAATTTATAAAAAAAAGTGATAACAAAATGGTAAAACAAAATGACAAATAGATCCAGTAGAATAGAATTCCCTTTTACTTTAACTGATCAAGAAAACCTTCGAATAGCCGTCCAAGAA